TTAAGAGTTGGTTCACAGGTAGATTGAGGTTAAGGAAACGTCACTGTTGTTGATAATATCAGTTTTGCTCGAATGTTGTTCTATAGTTGTATACCGTTTGTGTTGTGTAAGATATACGACGGTATAGACTTCTCTGACGTTTGTGAATTGCACAAGTATTAGTGCCTAGGGGAAGAACAACTTGATCTGAAGTAATATTTGATGTAAAAATTGCTCAAATTGGTAGATATTATAATTTTTAGTATAAATATTAATGATATCAACTGTCAAGCGGAAAGCTTCAAAGTAAAAAAAAATAACAGTGTAACTTTAACGCATACACTCAATGACGTTGCACCGTTGTTGTTTATGTTTACTGCATCTTTCTGTTTGTCATAATTTTTGCCTAGATTTTCGTTTTCGATAGCTCTGATCGATTTCGACTTCGGCTTTTTATGATAAAAACGGTACTGGACGTTCCCCCAGCAACAAATCTCTCCAAGTTGCATTCTCATGGCGAATCGAGCGACCACGGGACCATCACTCTGGGCTTCCGTTAACAGGGGCGGCGTTGTCAATCGATTCCCGTTCCATAGGAGAACAGAACATTCGTGGAAATTAATTCCTGGGATTGGAATTGCGGCCGATTATGTGCGCTGAGAACAGCTACCAAAAATTGCCGAATTTATGAGAACAAGGAGCGGATTTTGGTGGCGGTGGCCAGCAAGATCACAAAGGAATGACTTGCCTCTTGTGTGAAATACATTTTTGATTAAACGAATGTCAAATGTACACTTAAAACAAAAATAGTCGAAAACAAACAAAAAACAACTGTCAGACTAAGTATAAGATTCGCAAATATCACACATATTAAAATATTTAATACTTCCACCATCGGTATTGATACTGATACTTGGAGCTGTCCTTCCCCTAGATTAGTGCAGAACTTTGGTTAAATTCAAAGCTTTTCTTGCACTAATATTTATAATCAAGCATGGGAAAAATCGATTCATTTTGCATTTACTACTCACTCACACGCATACAACATCAGAAACGATCAGCAGCTTGTGCGAGCCGCACTGATTTCGTTCGTATTCGCATTGCTTCTATAGAGTTCTCTACCACCGATAGTATTAGCATAGAGGTAACTCTAAGACAAAAAGGTCCTGAAGAAACGTGTTCAACTTTTTGGCTCACCTCTGGTACTATCTTCGGTCCCAAACTAATCGATGCACCCCTCGAAACATAAGAAAATCTCCGAACCCCTCATTTTATCTGTCATTTTAACTTTCATAGTCCTCTCCAGCCGGGTTGGTATTGGTGCGAGTTGCGTGTGTTAGTGAGATGAAATTTTTTGTTAGCTGTGAGAAATTTTTTGTTTGCTGTAAGAACTGTCATTCTAAAGTAAAAATAAACAACAGAACGAAAACAAACGCTATGCTTGCACGGTAACAGTCAAGTACCTTTTTGTGAGTAAAGGTTAACCCATTTTTGATAAAGGTGGTTTTACTCATTAATGAGTAAATTATTTTAACAACAATGAGTTTCTGCTAACAGTAGCTAACAGTTACTAGTTAATTGGCATAATGAATAACTCATTAATTAGTGGTGCCGCTCTTATTTACAATGGGTTTACTTTTAGTCATAAATGGATGTTTGATTCTTACCGTGCACATGACAGTATACGCAACAATCAATACGAAATTAACGATTTTAAATTGGCTCACCACTTTAGTAGCCTATTGGTCCCAAGCAAACGATTAACGTACCCTATTCTAGTTGAAATTCTATTACTACACTATGTTTGTTTTGATTCGCTATGAAAGTTTGACAGATAACATCAGGGGTGTGTGGATTCATGCAGAACATGCAGGGGTGAGTGAAATAGCTTGGGACTGCTTGGGACCGTTGTTCTGGTACTGAGTGAGGCAAAAATAATAATGATTTTCTTCGGGACCCAGTGGTCTTAGAGTTACCTCTATGGTTATACTGTCATGGAGTGACTGTTCAAATTTTCTTTTTTTTCGAACGTTCAAATTTTCTCAACAGCGTTGCGGCACTGTATGAAAGTCACTGTATTTGAAGCCAATAGAAGAAACATGGTTGCCAGTGACATTGCCAAAAGATCCCTCAAAAGCCGTGCTGCTGTTTTGACAGAAATTTTCTTTGCGCGTCTCTATCAACGTCTCTGCTTTGAATTGGCTTCAAGACTTTGACTTGCGTCTGGATTTACCACCCCAGTGGTAAAGTGTGAGAGCGCGTAACACAATTTTCTTAAACGTATTTCTCGGCAACCAATCCTCCGAACTGAACGTACATACCTGAGTACCTGATGGGCGACGACTCGTTGAATTCAAATCTGCGCCGAACGAAGTAACCGTCTCCATTGGTCTCGGTCCTGAGCCAATCGCTCCCAGTCGCCTTGGACGTTCAAGGACCTAATGTCCTTCTCAACTGCACAAAGCCAACGCGTGCGTGGCCTACCCCGAAGCCGACGTCCTCTTCGGGGTTCCCTGCTGAATATTGACTTCGCTTGACGCTCTTCCGGCATTCGTGCCACATGCCCAGCTCACTGTAGCCTGCCGTGTTTTATAAGCTTCACAATATCCATGCCGTTATATACTTGGTACAACTCGTGATTCATGCGACGCCGCCAGATGCCATTGTCCAGTTTACCGTACGCTCGAAGACACCGAAAGCTCTCCGATCGGCCTCTTTCAATGCCCACGATTCGTGGCCATAAAGGGCTTCCGGCAGAATCAACGACTTGTACAGCGGGAATTTCGTTTTCGTACGCAAGCTGCGGGACTTCAGCTGGCTACGCAACCCGTAGAAAGCACTGTTAGCGGCTTCAATACGCCTTTTCACCTCGTGGGTAACATAATTATCGCACGTCACTAAAGTACCAAGATAAACAAATTCGTCCACAACTTCAAATTTTGCGCCATCTAGCACCACTTCACTACCAACACCACTATTGCTCCCACGCTTTCTACCGGCGACCATGTACTTCGTTTTGGTAGAATTTATCGTGAGACCAATCCTCGCTGTCTCCCTCTTAAAAGGCGCGAACGCCTCTTCCACTGCTCTACGGTCGATTCCGATGATGTCGATGTCGTCCGCAAAACCAAGGAGCATATGCGACCAGCTCTCCTAATCGCTCCTTCGAGGGCGATGTTGAATAGCAAGTTCGAAAGAGCATCTCCCTGCTTCAACCCATCTAAGGTCACGAACGAGGCCGAAATCTCGTCTGCAACCCGTACACATGATTTCGAACCATCCAGCGTTGCACGAATCAGCCTAATTAGTTTCGTCGGAAAACCGTTTTCTTGCATTATCTGCCATAGCTCGTTTCTCTTTACTGAATCGTACGCTGCCTTGAAATCTATGAACAAATGATGAGTCTGCAAGTTGTATTCCCGGAACTTCTCAAGGGTTTGACGCAGGGTAAACATTTAATCCATCGTTGATCGACCCTCACGAAAACCAGCCTGGTATTCGCCGACGAAGGATTCCTCAAGCGGTCTCAATCTGTTGAACAGAACACGTGATAATATTTTGCACGCCGAATTCAGAAGCATGATTCCTCTGTAATTGGCGCACTCCAGTATGTGTCCCTTTTTGTAGAGGGGACAAACGAGACCATCCAACCAACTAGCGGGCAATTCTTCCTTCCTCCCATATCTTGAGCAGTATACGGTGGATCATCTGGTGCAGCTGATCACTTCCGTGTTTGAGAAGTTCGGCCGGGAGCTCATCCTTCCCCGCAGCCTTACTGTTTTTCAGTTCTCGTATCGCCTTTTTCACCTCTTCTAGCGTTGGTGGTTCCACAGCTTGACCATCGTCGTCGATGTATGTTCTGTTTGTAGATGCTCTCTCGTTCAGCAACGTCTCGAAGTACTCCGAACTGAACGTAACAACCACCAAATGAAAAGGAACCATGATTCTAAATAATGTTAATCAATAGATTTTTAATCGATTAACTGGTTCCGGAGATATAGACCGAACAAGACCCAAAAATCGCGGAATTCGGGAACTAAGTGGTGTTTGTCGGCATCTACATAACCGAATTAAACGAAACAATGAGCAAATAAACGGGGGCTGATGGGCTGATGGGCGGATGGGCTGACGAAATCGTGTCATTACTGTTTTTAGTTTACCGAGCTTTTAATTAAAGCTAACTGGATTACACTCGTTGACCATTTTTAATTTGCCCCAAGGTTTGTCCTGTTCATTGTAGCACCGAATCGGGTTCCGAATATTCCAGAAAAGGTAACGAATTTTTGATTATCGGCGTCGCATCCAAGAAGATTCTAACCCAACCAAAACCTTAGTTGAATTTTTGGTGCGACGCCGGAACAGTGACTCCCCCTCCCAAGACCTTACTACAGCCATGACGCGTCAACTTCCTTTATCACTCGCATGCAACCCTGCAACCCAGACCGAACAGCCCCACCTTGAGTTTCCTTTTATGCCGCTTTGTCAAGTCAAGTCGAGTCCCATCCCGAGTAAAAATAACGACAATTATGTGATACTGTATTTCGCTGTCTATAAATACATTTGTATAAATATTGTCTTCACACGTTTAGGAAATGTAAATTCCAAAGATCACCAAAGATGTTCCCGTATGCAAATTTCAAACGTTTACTCGGGCTGCAGCTGTATTGCACAGCGTTGGCACAGCATCCAGCGAAACAGACGACAGCCAACAGGTTGGAGCATATTGCATTCCTGTTGTACCGCCCACCTCGCACCGCACCCCAACTTCTCGTCCAAGCATCGATGAATTGATAATTTATCGCTCTTATATTCCTTTGTACTACTTATAGGTATACATACTTATATACAGCCACCAAAGACCCAGCGCACTCGGTCGTTTAATAATGTATGCAAGCGACCGACCGACCGACCGATCACCGCAGCAGCAGCAACATTTAATGTCAACTCCATTAACATTCTCCTTTTATGTCCATTTCTCGTTTCATGTTGTTCTTCTTCTTCCTCTCGGAACTCGAATGCAGAAAACTAGGCCTAGATTTAGTACCCCGATTAGGGACGCTAGCGGTCGATCCGCATAAAATCGGAATCGTTTCGCTGCACCAGGTCCACGTCAACAGTGCCGAAAATGCCAAAGCTGCTTCCGTAAGTTAGACATTATTTGAAGAACCCAACATAACCTCATTTTCGATTTTTCTCCCCTCCCCTCCCCCTCAGAACCGTGGAACGCTTCGGCGGAAAGCCGGCAAGAAGGTCCTCACGCACCATCTGTACTTTTGCATGCGTGACTTTGGCCACCGGATAGGCGACGATGCGGAGATCTGCTTCTACCTGTACGACGGGAACTCGAACCGGATGCGGGCCCTGTCCGAGCGGTTCCTGATGCGCATTGCCAAAGATGGCTTTTCCACGTACGTGGAAACGTCCCACAACTGTACGGTTTTCACCGATCTCGGTTCGTCCGACCTGAATCAGGACCTGTATCTCATAGCCAACGTGATGCGGGTGGGGAAGATGCTGCACTCCGAAGCGGTTAAGAAGGGTGACAAGTTCATCAGTAACCATTCCTACCGGAGACCGTACGGGGTGGGGGTGCTACCATTGAGTGAGATAGCTCAGTTTGACCAGACGGTCGAATCGGAGGAGAAGGAGTTCAGCTTTAAGATCTTCCAGTGCGAAGAGAAGGACTACCACCAGCTGCACGAGTTGATCATTAAGAAGGCTAGCGGAAAGTTTCAGCCGATCAACGCCAGCACCCAGGGTCACTACGGGTTGGTAGTCTCGTTGAAGTTGATCCACGGAGGGCTGAGCCAAGCTCGGATAGAACAACCGATCCTGTTTCAAGGCACTGCCATAACCAAGAAGATCGGTTTCCCGGACGTGATCATGCCCGGGGACGTCCGCAATGATCTGTTCTTGACCTTAGAACGAGGCGAATTTGAACGCGTTGGCATAAGCACCGCGAAAAACATCGAAATCACCACCCTCGTTCTGGATGAAAACGGTCGAATCATCCAGGAGTGCATAGCCATCGCTTCCGGAAATCCCCTACAAGCGTACTACAAATCCATGGTCTTGTACCACAACAACTCCCCAGCCTGGAACGAAACCATCCGGATGTTCGTTCCCATAGACAAATTTAGCAAAGCGCACGTACGGTTCGAGTTCCGAAGTTGCTCCACCCGGGACAAGTCCGACCCGAAACTGTTCGGCTTCAGCTTCTCCCGTCTGATGGAACCGGGAGGGGCAACGATTGCGGACGCATCCCACGAACTGTACGTCTACAAGTGCGAAGACATTCTCAAGGTTCAACCGAACATCTACCTTCGACTGCCTTGCTCCGCAATGGACAAGCACGCTCACACCTTGGAATCCAACTCTCCCTACCATCGAAGTTCCAAGGAGGCATTCTTCGTCAAAACCGTCCTCTGCTCAACGAAGCTTACTCAAAACGGCGATCTCCTCTCGCTTCTGCAGTGGCGTAACCATCCGGAGCGCATCCAGGACTCCCTGCAGCGGGTTCTCCGGCTTCACAATGAAGAGCTAATCAAATTCCTACAGGACGTCCTGGACGCCCTGTTTGCCATGTTCTCCACGGACGACGGAAACAGCACGCCCCACTCCGGTCTCGTCTTCCACGTGCTCGTATCGATTTTCAGTCTCATGCAGAGCAGCAAATTCCAGCACTTCAAACCCGTCATGGACGCCTACATCAAGGACCACTTCGCTGCTCCTCTAGTCTACAAAGGTCTCCTCTCGTCCGTCCAACACCTCGCCGATTGGATGATGACAGCGGAAAACCTGGAACCCATCCTGCAGTGCTTCAGCTCCCTCGAGTTCATCTTCAAGCTGATCATCCAAAGCCGGAAACTTTTCGCCCACGCTTCCGGTGGCCAGTATGAAGACAAGTTCAAGCATGACCTCTTCGCCGTATTCACCTCTCTCAACGGAATGCTTCTAGTCGCCAGTCATTCGCACATTCTCCCCACCCAGGAGGCCCTTCTCAGCTCGATCGGTGTCGTGTTCGAACAGCTCCGCACCATCCTCACCAAAAGCGAACTGGAAACCCTAGTCAAAGGCATGCTGGATGCCGTCCCGAAGGACGCCCAACCACCTCTGATCCAGGCCAAACTGAAATCCATCAAGGACATGGTCTCCGGACAGCTTTTCCAGGACGACGAACTGCGTTCCGTTATCCTGAACATCGCCTGCAAACATCTCCGTATTCACCTGGCTCGACGCGATGAACTCCGGCTGTGCTCGGAGATCCTCGCCGAAATCCTCATCAAACTACACGAGGCCAAAGTCAAAACCGGCGAAAAACCGTCGAACGCGATCCATCACGATCTGGACATCCTGTTCTCCAACATCTTCCCCATTCTGATGCAAACCATCAACGTCCTAGGAAACGGTGGCAACGAATCGCTAGTCTGCGCCCTGTTCGCCGTTATGCTGGGGCTGCTTCAGCTGCTGGACGAATCGCACTTCCAGCGGATGTGGGACCGCCAGAGCACCACCGGAAACAACAGGGAACTGAAAGATTTCATCCAGCAGTGTCTGAACATTTTCAAGGACATCCTGGAACAGGACTGGATGATCTTCTCCAAGGACTGGCTGGTGATGAAGATGTCGGCGAACGAGGTGCTGCGCAAGACCCTGGAGGAACTGGCGAAGCCGCTGGTCTACCGATTCCTGGAACAGCAGTCGTTCGACTCGCAGCTCTGGTGGTCCTACTTTAGTGTGGCGGTGATCTTTCTGACGCAACCCTCGCTGCAGATCGAGCAGTACCACGAAACGAAACGGCGAAAGCTGCTGAGCACCCACGGCGACATGCGGGTGGCCATGGGCTTCCAGATCTTGAGCATGTGGGCCCAGCTGGGGGAACATAAGCTGCACTTCATACCGTCGATGGTGGGACCGTTCCTGGAGGTGACGCTGGTGCCGGAACCGGCCCTGCGGAAGGCGACCTTTACCGTGTTCTACGATATGATGCAGTGCGAACAGGTGAGTGGATATTCTGTAATCTGCGGTCCATAACATACTCCCCCTAATTCTGCGAGTCACGTGACTCTCTGTCACCGGTGAGATGACAGTTGTCACCTCGTGTGAGGTGACTCTCCGTGCAAATCAAATGGAGAGTCACCTCACACGAGGTGACTATTGTCACCTCACCGGTGACAGAGAGTCACGTGACTCGCAGAATAGGGGGGACTGTTTTACCAGAAGTCGAAAGTTCGAATGCTCTGTGAAGTTCTCTTAGAATTAGCACCCTCGGAACATTCCGGAAGTTTCTTATTATCATCCATGCAATTTCCTTGGAACACTTGACAGAAGTTTCCTCGGAACTTTTCTGCATCCTAAGTTCTCTCAGAACTTTCCTGATGTTGCTTTGGACTTTTTCTGAAGTTGTCTAAGAAGCATACCCTAAAGTTCCCTCGGAACTTCCCAGAAGTATAGCCACGAAAATTCTCAAAATTACATTTGAGGTTTTCTAGAAGTTCTCGTCGTTGCATAAAGCCTAACATTCTTCCGGATGATCTGTGAAGTTCTCTCAGAACTTTCTTAAAGCCCTCGGAAGATACCTAAAGTTGCCTCAGGACTTTTCTAAATTTCTCAGACGTCCACTCAGAATTTCCCTTAACATTTGAATGCCTCCACTAAATTTGCATAATCTGCACAACAAGTTGCATTTTGTCGGGAAACCGTCAGGAAAAATTTGGATCAATACATGGTTCCGGAGTTATTCCGGTTTCCGTTGGGGTCATTCTGGGGCGGCATTCTGCTTTGCTGTTCTGTTATAATTATACCCACGGTGAATATAATATTTTCTCACTCAAATGATGTAATTGGACCAATTCCGGTTATACCGATGGTCCCTGATCACATTGAGCATCCTGGAAAAGTACCGGTGCCCCCGGGGAAGTGGCCAATTCTCAACAAGAGCCAAAGCTCGTCATGGAACATATCAAACTTTATGATTTTATAAAACTCGGCCGGTTATGGTCTTATTGACAGTCCACGGTCACACTAGCCCTCCCGGGCATGTTCCGGTGCCCCCGAGGAAGTGGTCAATTCTCGACAAGAGTCAAAACCCGTCGTGCGACATATTAAACCTCATGGTTTTTCAAACCTCGACCGGTAATGAATTTTATAACAGTTTACGGTGAGCATCCCGGAAAAGTACCGGGGCCCCCAGGGAAGTGGCCAATTCTCAACAAGAACCAAAACCCGTCATGATGCATATCAAACTTTATGATTTTATAAAACGCGGCCGGTAATATGATATCGGTAATGGCTTTATTGATAGTCCACGGTTAGACTAGCCTACCGGGCATGTTCCGGTGCCCCCGGTGAGGTGGCCAATTCTCGACAAGGGCCAAAACCCGTCTTGCGACATATCAAACTTCATGGTTTTTGCAACCCTGACCGGTAATTGATTTATTGACAGTTCACGGTGAGCATCCTGGAAAAGTACCGGTGCCCCCGGGGAAGTGGCCAATTCTCAACAAGAACCAAAGCCCGTTGTGCGACATATCGAACTTCATGATTTTACAAAACTCAGCCGGTAATGGGTTTATTGACAGTCCATGGTCTCACTAGCCCTCTCAGACATGTTTCGGTGCCCCCGGAGAAGTTTCCAGCTCTCGATAAGCACCAAAATCCGTCGTTCTACATATCAAACTTCATGGTTTTCGAAAACTCGGCTGGTAACGGCCTCATTGAGAGACCACGGTCACATTGGCCATCCCGCCAGTTCTGCTGAAAACGTCCCATGTAGCTTACCGAATAGCAAATGTCCGGGCGCATACACAACATGGTGTACATCCATGCTTCCCAACAGCTCTCTGTACGGTTCCTTCGTCGCTGGTCCGTCACGCTTCAGTTAGAGCCCGGAGTTTTACACTTCATTACTTGGGCTTCTTGCGAAAGTTGAAGTCTCTAGGTTGTACATCAGCTTCATGCCCAGGAAGTAGTTAACCTCACCGCAGTCGGTCTTTTTGAACACGACAGAGAGTTTCTTCTTAAGCCGCAAGATCGAAGTCAACTTTCTTCCAGTGATTCTTAGGTCGTCGACGTAAATGATGATGATCAGCTCGTCCCCTGGTGTGCATCTCGTATACAAGCAGTAGTCGTGGTTTAACCGGGTGAATCCCATCTTGAGCAACTGTCCATTCAGCCGCTCATTCCAGCAGCGTACAGGGACTTCTGTAGCTTGCAAACCATGCCTTGATCTGCTTCTACGCCGTCCGGTACCACCATATAGATGTCTTTCTTCAGGTCACCAACGTCGTCTTGACGTCCATCTGGTGGAACAGGAACCGATGGTGCACACCAACAGTTAGAACAGTACGGATGGTGATCAGTTTCGCGACGGGAGCGTAGATTTCTTCATAATCGATACCCTGACCCTGCAGGTACCCTTTCACCACCAAACGAACCTTGTAGCGCACCTCCTCGCCGTTCCCGCCTGCTCCACACGAAACACTCATTTCGACTGGAGCGGCTTGACACCCTGGGGAGAACATTGTAGCTTCCATACTCGGTTCGTCTCCATCGAATCCAGTTTCTCTCGAATGGCTTTCAGCCAATGAGTACGGTCGTCTCGGCCTTCGATATCGTTGTAGCAGTTGGGGACATCTGTAATGCATGGACCGGCAGAAACAGCTCCGTAACACAGCTCAGCAACGGTTGACCCTCATCCTTGGATTCGAGCTGTTCTGGTTGCGAAGGGAACGCCCCGGTTTTGGCGGTGTCTACAGTCTGCCAGTTGCGTCGTGATCTTGATCAGCATCCGGTTCGATTTCCTCGGGATCATGATCACCTTCCCCCTCTTGCTCGGGAGGGAAATACACGACCAGGGGGGAATCCTTCTTCTCGGGACACTTCTGGTACGGAAAGGTAGGATTCGTCGCACTTCAAGTCACGAGCGATGATAATCTTCCTGGCGGCACGGTCCCAACAGTCGGTAGCCATTTGGAGCATAGTCAACCATCCCAGTCTCCCGGCTCCTCGCTTCAAGCTTCTCGCGCTGCTGATCGGGTATCCAAGCGTAGGCTTTACACCCGAGCACACGGTGTTTCTTCAAGCAGCAGGTCTAAGCTGGGGTTACCGTCTTGAACATGAGATAGACGGCGGTAAGGACAGCTTCGGGCCACATTACTTCGGGGACGCTTGACGCGATCAGCATCGTGCGGACCTTTTCGACCACAGTTCGGTTGAACCTTTCCGCAACGCCATTCTGCTGCTGCGATTTGGATGCCCTTTCTGGAATAGAAATCTTTTTGCGCATTTGAGCCGTACTCACGTCCTTTGTCCACAGTCAAACTTGAAATCTTGAAAACCGAACTTCGCAGTCGCCATGGCCTCATATTCCTCGGACTTCCTCCGCATCATGTAAAGTACCGAAAAGTGGTCATCGATGAAGCTCACGAAGTATCGGGATCCGTCCCAAGCAGGGGAGTCGATAGGACCACACACGTCCGAGTGGATCCTTTCCAAAGGCCTGGTCGCTCGCTCACGAGTTCCGCTGAAAAGGTCGCGGCATTGCATCACCAGGTCCCTTGCACACAATCGTTGCAGAAGCTCAGTTTGTCCCAAAGAAATTCAGCATCAGTCACCAGGTTGTTCGATGCCATTGCCTTCGCTCACGTGTCCGAGCTCGTACACACTTAGATTTTTCTACCGAGATCGGCTGTGCAAATCTCGGCAAAATAAGTTTCACTGAGATCTCAGCAAAAGTGACATTTGATTGCTGAGTCTCGGATAATGCTTAGCTGAATCTCAGCAAACAAATGAAATGTTTGCTGATATCTCAGTAAAACTTTTTTGCCGAGATTTGCACAGCCGATCTCGGTAGAAAAATCTAAGTGTGTATGACTCCGACTTGCACAAGTTCGCTGTTGGGTCTTCCAGGTCAATATCCAGCTCGCAGAGGTCACCTCTTTCTTCGACGCCGACGGACATCAAATTGTCGCGCAACTCCGGAATGCACAGCACTTCCCTTCAAGTGGCAACGGGAACTGTTGCCTTAGATTGCACCGACCTTCTTCGCAAGAACGGATTAACCTTCCTTCGCCACGTTGATCACGATCGGCTGGTTCAGTTGTCGGATCACCGAAAACGCTTCGCTATCGTTGATGAGGTGCTCACGCCTCACTGGATCCCGCGTCGAGTTTGAACACGAGCTTGTCACTCTTCTTCTTGACATTGCCCCGGCTCGTCACAAAACTTACCGCTTTCCGCTGATTGGCCGCCGAGTTAGCTCCACCATCGACCTTCTTTCGACAGTCCTTCTTGAGGTGACCACGCTTGCCACACTTATGGCTCTTAGCCGGGAATTTGAAATGTTTCTTCGTTTTGTCACCAGAAAAAGCGACACCTTTGGCCTCGCCAATTTCTCCATTTCGCTCTTGACGTTTCATGTCTTCAGCCAACAAACGCTGCTTAACGACTTCGATGTTCATATCTTGCTTCGGAACGTTTTCCAGAGCGGCTGCCAGAGGGTCGTACGAATCTGGCAGCATCTGGAACAGCAGTACCGCCAGATCAGTTTCGTCTACCTTCGCGCCAGCTGTCTTCATCTGTCGGACCAAATCGTCAAACGCCAGCAGATGTGGCCTCATCGGATCACCTTTCTTCAGCTTCAGTCGGTTGAGCTGTTTCCGGTTTAGGTGCGATCCGATAGACTTGGTTGCGAATGTCGCTTCAAAGGGGTGGCACATTTCCTTGGCTGTCGACTTCTTCCGGATGACCTTGACCTTTTCCCCCGCCGCTTCTGGTGCGTTCTCCGTCAGATTATTCAGGACGCCGACCGAATCCAAGTGCATCTAGATCCTGAAGCTCCAGTGTTGGAAATCTGGTCCGCCTTTGAACTGCGGAATTCCGCCAGCAGTATTCGCCGTGGTGCCCATTACCTTTTAAAATCCTTGGTTTCAAGTTGGAGGGAAATAACGGTACGTAATTTTGTTTTAGCTGTTTGGTCTGGAAATTCGAAACGGAATACCTATTCAACTTTTCTTTTTTCTGTATGGGAAATCCGTTTCGAACGGATTGCAGAATGCGGATTTGTCCTGCACATTGAAAACATTATTTGGTTGATTCTATCGTAAATATCCTCGAGCTCATTACTAAAAATCTGCTATTTATCAATTTTATCGAGATGAATTGGGACGGTACTAATTGATAGTTTTGGTCGCTATTGAAAATTTAGTCGATTGCTGAATTTGTGTATGGGTCCAAATTAGGGGCATTTAGGCCGACATTACATCCATTTCCCCTAATGAAGAGTTTTGAATTTTCTGCTACTTAGGTCCACATTTTCCTAATTTGTCATTTGACCTGACAATTTGACAGATCACCCTGATCATTCCTTGGGAATTTCTTTAAGAAAGAATTTCATACCACTCAGTAATCTCCTAAACAAGTATATTTTATTAGTATCCGTCCACGCTGGCACACATAACTCGCACGTCACAACGGTCACCTCCCCTCGCACCCCTCTACTTCTTCAGCGCTCCCAACCGGGCCGGATCCTGACTGGGGTAGTGCATCTGCTGCAGGCCCGGATTGGGCAGTGACGACGGTACCATGACCTGCTGTTGCTGTGAGTGGGCTGCAGCAACGGCGGCAGCTGCCGCCGCAGGTCCCGTTGTTCCCGATCCGGATGGCTGCGAATACATGGTCGGTGCCCCCGGAATCAGCCCCGGTGGCAGCTGATGGATCTTCATGCCCGGCGGCAGGACGGCCATCTCCGATGCTTGCAGATTGAAGTAATCGTTTGGATTCGGAGGCATGGGAAGCTGCCCGGGCAGACCCGGAACCGGATCGAAGATCCGGTTCGTTCGTGGAACGGAACTTTGGGCATAAGCTGTGGATTTGGCTTGCGAGTGGGCCCATTTAATGGTGAGCTTCTTGCCACCGAGAATCAACTTGTTGAAGGTCTTCTCGGCGGCCAGTTCGGCCGCTGCACGCTTAGTGTACTGTACAAAGGCACACTGCTGACGCGGCACTAGCGAAACGGACCGGATTTCTCCGTAGTGGTAGAAGTTGTCCCGAATGTCCACTTCGGTAATGTGTTCTCCAAGATTTCCGACGTACAGCGTAGTGATCGTTTTGTCCTCCGGAGGTTCCAGCGTTGGAATGGATGCTGCCCGCTTCATCAGCTTGTCTGCCACTGGATCGTTCCGACCGTAGTAACGATCCCGAATGTTCTGCTCCGACAGTGGATCGTCCGGTTCCACGGGCTTATCATGCCGATAGGGGCACTCCTCTCCGCGCTTGCATTCGCCCTTGACCCAGAACGAACAAATGTGAGGCAGATTCCGCTTGTAGTACGGTGCCGTTCGGGCCAGCTTGGCCAACATATCACTGGCGGCCAACGATTTGCCCACCATTCCGGCTGCCACCGTATTGTCACCGTTCGCCTTCAGCTGGGCTTCGATCGTCTGAATGTAGTACTCCTTATTGACGTCGCTTTCCGGGATCTTGTCCTGGATCTTGAGCGCCGCATCGCGGACCTGCGTCGGCAGACCGTACTCCAAATCGAGCAGGCAAGTCTGGCAGACGTTCTTCAGCTTGCTGCACGTCTGGCAGATTTCCGTTTTCTTGAAGCGCATCCGCGCTCCCGGACACCAGCGGAAGATTGTGAACGGGCGGGTGCAGATTTTGCATTCCTTGCCGTAGCGCTCCTTGATCTGTTGGAAGAATGGGGGAAACAAAATTGTTGTGAGTTTTGATACACTGCTGCAGTCATGGACAACCAAACACTCACCATTCGAACGTACGGATTATCGCCGAGGCAGGTCTGGCAGAGGACGGGAAATTCCTAGAAACGAAAATTAACGATTAATAACGTTTATTTGCAAAGTAAACCAGCAACCACTTACGGAATCCTCCCAGTTTTGGCGATTGTACGTGTTGGTCGTCTTGGACATCGCCATCTTGGCAGGGTGATTGGTTGGCTAGCGTTTCTACCGAATTAACTGCTATCCGCACTGTTTCACGGTTGATGGTTCGTTTCTTTGGCACGACTCGATAATTAATCACCGAAATAAATGGAATTTTCCCAGCAAAATTCGACTGTTTTTCGCGTTTGTTTGTAGACTTTTCAGGCAACGTTTACGCACGGAAGGGTAGCATTTTGCTTTTTTTCTCTTCGCATCGATTTGACGTTTCATTCGATTTCGTTTTCTCTCTCGCGAGTTTTTGACATCATTCAATTTTTCTCTGCATGAGAGAGGGGAAGAGAAACTTAAACGATGACGTCATCGTTCTGCGGTGCCCCGGTGGTGGAATTGTGCGTGCTCCTATCGAGCAGCGTTGCCAGATATACCGATTTATCGGTATTTATACCGATTTTCAAACTTGATGATTCTAATACCGATTTGTACCGATGTTTTATTAATAATCAAAATGATTACTATCTGCCCGCACTGAATTGTCAGAGGAAGCTATTGTGAGACACATTTATCTTCTTAAAAATTAAAATTTTTGAGCCTGCTCTAAAAAAAATCATCTTTAAAAATGTGTTATGCTTGATACTCTTTCGACTAATGCTTACATTTCCTCGCGTTTTTGGTTACCAAGGAGTCGAGAAACAGCTGATGGTTTATCCCAATAATTTCTGGAAATCGGGAAATACTTTTATTCAGTGGAACAACAGGCCCATAAAATCGTTAATTTTTGAACTTCCTGAAATTTCTTTAATCTTTATTTGAAGTTTCTTCCAACTTTCCCTAGGAATTTCCGTTCACCTTACCCTGCCCTGTAAGTTATTTTCCGATTCCTTCCGGAAATCTATTTCGACTTCCCTTGGAAGCTTCTTCTGGTTTCGCTCGAAAGGTTCTTCCACAGACAAACAGACGTAACTCTTGGAAAAAGTTTTTCTTGAAAACATAGTATCTCAAAACATATGACCTCAGTAACGACATCTCTCGGGCTTCTCGCGGAAAACAAGCTTGCTCGCTAGCTCGCAAACAATATTGCATAAAAGTTCCATAGAATGTATAGAAACGTCAAAGTGGTCCGATGCCAGCGCTTCGGCGAGTAGTTCGCGGAACTGATAATATTCAAATCAACCGTTAAATGCATGAACGAAGATACACAATGAAGTGTTACGTCTGTTTGTCTGTGGTTCTTCCGTCTCCTCCCGTCAGTTTTTTCAACTTCCCCGGGACTTCAGAAATGCTTCCAGAATTTTATTGTGGTTCCATTAGTTTCAGGAAAACTTCAGGAACTTTTCAGAAGTTCTGAAACTTCAGAATAGTCCGGACTTTTAAGTAGGTTCCGATAAATTATAGACAGTTTCATTAACTTCTGTTCAAATCAGAGAACCCGGGAATCTCAGGAAAGCCCAGAGAATTCAAATGAAATATTTTGGAAACTTCACAAGCCCAAAGAACTCTAAAGAAATTTAATGGTTTTCAGGATAGTTCCATTTATTTCAGAAGAATTGAGATAACTTTAGGGAAGCTTTGAGACCATCAGGACATATAAATTAGAGGAGACTTCTGAACCTTTAAATGAGTTCCGAGAAACTCAGGCAATTTCCGAAAACTTCAGTTAGGTTCCGAGAGGTTCATGAAAATTTTGGAAACGTAAGGGAAGTTACATGAGCATTAAAAAATTGTTAGAACATTTTCAGGGAAGCTCTGTGTTTTTATCGGCAGTTTCGAGAACTTAAAAAATTAAAAAATTGGGAAGTTCAGAGAACCCAGAAACCTATTTCTTCCAGATAATTTCCCATCTTCTCCTTGAAGTATCTTTCGAGTGTTCCGTAAGCCCTCTTGCGTCCGACTTTTCCAGAAGTTTGTTCCAATCTACCGTAGGAAGTTTCTCCCAGTGTCTCCTGGAAGTTTCTTCCGTCTTCTCCAGGAAGTTCAATTAAAGTTTTACCGGATGTATCTATCGAGTTCCTCCAGAAGTTTCTTTCGTCTTCTTCTGGGAGTTTCTCCATAAGTTACCCTCCGTAGGTTTTTTTCCCCGACTTATTGTAAGGTTTTTCCGAGCTTCTCCTAACTTCCCCTGGAAATGGCTCCTCCGGGATTGGCGTCCGATTTCCAAAATTTTCTGGCTTCTGGATTTTATCAGAAAGTTTCTAAACATTTTTGCCAGCAGTTTCTCAATATTTGTCTTGGAAGATCCCCATCGGATGTTTTTTCGACAGCTTTTAGAACTTTTTTCAAACTTCAAGATCTCCTTTATTCTTCCTCTGGAAGTTTTGTCGGTACCGTTAAGAGACTAATTCAAATATTTCACAAAAATTTCTTCCGACTTACATGGAAAGTACATCCTTTGACTGTAGTCCAAAAGTTTGAAAATTTTTAAAATAATTAAAATAGTGAATACTGATAATTACCGATTTTTTAATCATTTGATACCGATAATCATGAAAACAATCTGGCAACGCTGCTATCGAGAGCAAAATATCTCGCGTAACATTTGAAAAGGGCCTATGTCCAAATTGTAAACTTTTTTATACACTGCAAATACAGTTCACGTTACATTCACCTGAAAACGTACGTAGATATTTTCCATCGTACTTTTCTGGTGAATATTATATGTTTTGGGAATAAAATGCTACTTCAAGTGATTCATGTGAAAATCAAGTGATTTTCACGTAAATTTTATCGGAAGTTCCGATGATCCTCAAATTGGCTTCACTTAAAAGTTACGTGAATTGTTTAATAATCGTCACTGGATTTTGTAGCAATAGTTAAGTGAATTTGAGGTATGTATCATGTGTTTTAATACAGTGGTATTTTTTTTTTCTTTATTAAAGACCTTTTAACTGTTGTCATTCGGGTCTTGTGACTTTAGAGTTATAGTACATTATATAGATTCACTTTTGTTATTCTTCGTTTTTTTTTTTTTTGTTGTTGGTCTACATTGCAAATCTTCACTTTTGGTATTTTTGCTGTTCTTGGTGAACCACCGATTTTATACGTTCTGAGCCGCCGCCATAGACCGCGCTGCTTTGTATGCCTCCTTCCGACATTTGTTGATTACAATTTTTGTTAGGTTGAGTGCGATGATAAAGGTCAGCATACCTCGAGGCATGCCTATGATGATCCACAGCTTCGCTTCATGCTGGGAGTGCATCTCCGTATGCACCTCCTGGTTTTCAATGACAGTAACCTGTTGGTCACCTATCTGCTTCACTTTTTGGTCCTTGGAGTCGCTGTTGCCCATGATGATGGTTGACTGGAGTTTGATGTATGACTATTGACTCTTTCCGATCGATGGGGATTTTTATAGCTGGCATTTTGGGTGACCGAGCTAATAAATGATGATGGCGCGATACGGTTTTGATGTTTCGACGATTTATTAAATTTGCTTAGCTAGCCCAGCTTGCTGGAAGAACAGTGTTATTTTTTCCATACTCTCCCTGTCGTCCGCCAGTGCTTCCCTTAAGCTGGGTTTAAATAGGGCAAGTCAATTGATCAAGTCAGTTGAATTCAACTGACTTGAACGCGAATTGAACGTGTAAACCATGCCATTCAACTGACTTGATCAACTCACTTGAATTGAAAAAAGTTGAACCAGGCTCAACTTTGCAAGCCAATTGAATTCAACTGAGTTGATCATTTGACTTGCCTAGTCTAAACCCAGCATTAAGCTTGTTGAAATTCCAATTGAAGTTCTTAGGTGATCGAGACCTGGGCAGTTTGCTATTATGTGTTTGACAGACAAATTGGAGTTGCAGAATTGGCATTTGGGTGGATTTTCCTTGTCTAGTATGTACTTGTGGGTGAGAAGAGTATGACCGATTCTAAGTCTGGTCATCATTACATCTTGTTTACGGTTGCCTGTCATGGACTGTTTGTAAGGAGTAATGACGTTTTTTATTTCACGTAGAGCGTTTCCGGTGGTATTAGTCCATTCTTCTTGCCATTTATTTAGGAATTTTTGTTTAATAAATGCCTTGGCGTCTTGTATGCCTATTGCACTTATTATTTTCGTAGTATTGAGGGATTTTTTGGCTTCCGTATCTGCCTTTTCATTTCCAATTATTCCAATATGGCTAGGGACCCAGCCAAAGGTTGCACATGAATGATTGTGTGCTGCCTTATTATAGAGGTCGATGATTTCGTCTTTCCAGACGCTGGAGATTTTTTGTTTTTCCAGTGTTGTTATTGCGCTTAGGGAGTCCGTATAAATGATATATGCTCCGGCTGTTTGCTGTTGGACAATCCATTTCAGTGCTTCAATTATGGCGTGGCTTTCTGCTGTGTATATGCTGCTCAAGTTTCTTATTCTTTTACGTATAGTTAAGCCTGCAGTCACTACGCTGTAGCCTGTTCTGCCATCTTTTTTGGATCCATCGGTATATATTGCACGATGAAATTTGTATAGAGAACTATTCCGGGTTTTGAATGCTTGAACCAGTTCTGGGGGTTTTGCATTCTCTCTGCTTAGGTGCCAGAGGTGCTTATCTATAATAATTGGTTTTCTATTCCAGGGAGCTATTTTTGGTACCGTTAGGAACTTAATCGTGGGTAGTGTTAGGTCAATACTGTTCATCACATCAGCTGCCCTTATTTCCGGTGTGTTGGGGTCTGGGCTTCGTGATTCATTCCACATTTCTCCGGAACTGTAGCTGCTAGGATCCTCTGTGCGGGTATCGGTTTGAGGTGTGTGGGGAAAGCTTTCTGGAGTTGCTCTCTTTTTGGCAAAATGTGTTACTAATCTTTGGTTGAGTAATGTTTTGAGGTTAGGGATGCCTGTCTCCGATTGAATGCTGATGATGGGACTTGTTCTGAATGCTCCACATATTACTCTTAGGCCTTCGTTATGCACTGTTTCAAGTCGTTGTATACAGGTTTTGTTGATGGATGTTATTGTTGGTGCGGCGTACAGCAACTTTTCCAATACTGTAGCTTTGTATAATTGAGTAAGTGTTTTAGTGTCACCACCCCATTGTCTGGCTGCGATGTATTTTAGAATCTGTACTCTTTGTAAACAGGATGATCTCGTTTCTTCTACATATTCTCTGAATTTTAAATGTTGATCAAAAATTACACCCAGTATTTTGTGGTGTTTTTATGTTGAATTAATCGTCCATTCAGTATTAGGCCATCAAGGTTCGTTGGTTTTCTGCTTTTAGGGTTTCTGAAAATTATTGTTGCACTTTTTTCCGCCGA